GCTCCCTCCTGGGACAGAGAAGGAAACCAGGGATATGTCAGTTCTCAAGTCAAGGAGACAGACGCTGCCGCCTTTGGCCTTCTCTGACTCCTCTCATCCTCTTCCCTATCTTTAACCCCTTTAGGCAAGAGACTTGATTATCTGGGTTACATTTGAGCATTACTCATGCTTCATCCAAGGATTAAGGATCAGCCATACTTCACCCGTACCCAATGCCAATTTAGGGACCCCTCTGGGCATGCTCTATGCACAGCCTCCTGCCTGTACCATGTTTTGGAGACAACCTTTGATGCGTCTGAAACTAAATGAAGGACACCCCACATCCCTGCTGCTGCAGAGCCAGACATAAACTGTGAAGGCAACTGAGCTTCTAGCATTCTGTCTTCCCCTCTACAAAACAGTACTGATTTATCTTTTCTGGGTTGATTTCATGGGAGAAGTCTAACGGTTCATTTACCTCATACATAAGATTTGCTTCTGGAAAACCAGTTTCTCCAGCCAAGCAACAAGCTGTGCTATATTATGTCTCAAGCGATAACCACTGGCAAAATTTTCAGCAGTTCAAACAAAACAATTAAAAAAGAAGAAACTAACTTTATGCAATTTAAAAAGATTGTAATTTTTCCTGAGATATTTTTAAATTAAAATATCCTTTGCATTATGAGGTACAGCTTAGGAGCCAGTAGTTATTTGTAATGCTTTTACATGGCAAAACTAAATGTGTTCCATCTTCTGAAACCATTTCTAGAGGGCCAAACATGTGGGCTGTAAATTGTTTATGATTATAAGATAGCCAAATGCTTTATTGTTCTCAACTCAACCAAACCTATTTTGTTATAAGGAATATTGGTTTGGAGTACACTGAATTGCTTGATACTTGTACAATTTTTTGCTTCTTCTCTATTTATATTTCAAGATGGTGTGGCCCTTTTTAGAGGGAATGGGAGAGAGGGCATTATTTTGTATACAGCTTGAAAAGCCATATATTACTAAAAACTCTCAATTTCAAGTTGAAAATAAAATTACATATCAGAAATAGCCTTATGTTGTTAGCCAACTTGGTTTAAAATAGTAAATGAAATATAACAGTTACTATGATACACATTTTTCCATATATTTTCTATTCTTACCCAGTGAAATAAGATATTTTCCCATTTAACAAATGAGGAAACAAGGTTTTGAAAGTTTCAAAGTTACAGTTATAGCAAGTAAAAGGCAAAGCAAAATTTGAATTCAGAGGTGTTTTACTGCATAACCCAAGTTTTTTCCACTATTAAATAATTTTAAGAGGTATTTCAATTTTTTAAAATTTATCAATAATTACAGGGAAATATATCAATAATTACTACTTTAATTTTGGAGAATAGTCAAAAGACTATGTTTATGCTTATTCAATTTATCAGCGTTGATTTGCATTTCAGCAGTGAGAGGAAAGTCATTACCAAATTATGCTACCTGGTGACACCTGATCCAAAGATGAATGGCTGAGCCAAAGAGTATACAAGTAAGGGAAACTGTCTTCCTTCAAGATACCAAGCACATAAAACATAGCATCTAATCAAGATCAATATTAGGATATTTTAAAAAGATTTAACAAGAATAAGTTACATTGTGGGTTTATTATTTTAAAATAGCCCATAGATTTCTGAATTTGCTAATCCTACATTTCTTTTCAATATTATTTTTATAAATGCTATAATTAACAGTAAATTGTTTTATGTCTTAGAAAGATAGATAAAGAAAGAAGAGAAGATATAGGTCTCATATAATTCTGGTTCAAATTACAAGCTAAATTGCAATAAATTCAACAAAACAATTTGGCCAACATCAATGGAGAATTCACATTTGTCTTTTCAAGCTCCCATGCTCTAGAGAATCCCACTTCCAAACTACTCTGATAAATTAGAGTTAGGAACTAAAACAGTCATTGCATCTTCCAGAAGGCCTCACATTTTCCCATGGAGTAATTACTTAATTTTAATTTCATAGTTTTTACTTCTTCGTTTTGAAAGAACTATTAAAAATTTTAACACTGTTTAACTTTGCCAAAACTATTTCTTAGATGAAAAAAATAGTGACATATTTTAATTTTAAAAAGTTTGTTTTACATTAAATATTGTTCAGATAATAAGATGACAAAGGATTATTGTCTTCCAATTCTGTTGCTGCTCATTAAAATCTCTGGCTGCATAGATCTGAAGACAACATTAGTCTTTGATACAGATAAGCACTAACATTGGCCATTCTCAAGTGCACTGCATTGTTTTCTTTATTGTAATAATTCAGGCTTCATTCTCAGATCACTAGAGGACATAAAACAAAGAATAAAATACGAAAGATTGAAGTTACCCAGTTCTCCTTCCTTGCTCTCTTTCTACCTTTCTTCAATATTACTTCACATAATCATCATGTAATCAAAGCATTTATGAGCTGCTACTATGAGCCAGGTACCTCACACATGTAATAAAATCTTGATGACTGTTATTTTTCTAAAGGTATCAAGACTCTTGATAGCTTGCCAAGATCATACAGTAAACAAGAGTTAAACAGTAGTTGAAGATATGAATGGGGTTAGTTTTTCTTAAAGGCAAGTCGATTTCTCTCCCTTTTAAGAAATGCATTTTCTGTCTTAGAAACCATCTGATTAAAATTTTTACAATATATTTACACATGCATCATTGAATCAATAAAGATGAAAAGTGCCTTGGCTGAGGCCACTGCTCATTGGAACTTAGTTCTCTTAGTTAAACATGGTTTCTAAAAACAAATCATTCTTACAATCTTAGCTACTTGGTTAGTATATGACAGCCCTAAACCTAAGTGTAATAAAGGAATGATGTACACTTTGGACTCTTAGAAAAAATACAGCATATATAGAAAACATTCTCATCTAAAAACAAAGCAATAACAACAACAACAAAACTGTATCATAAGATTCCCACGTCAGTGAACTTGATGCTTCCTATGACTACATTGTTTTCTTTTTTTACTTGCGAGCAATAAGCTTGTGCCTTTTACATGATAGAGAATTGGAACACTGGCCCAATGCTTTCATCAGGGTCAAGCTTTATAAAATATTTTTTCATAGAAACAAATGGAAACTATGTTTATGAAAAAATAAAACTTCGATAAAGTGACTAGCCTACTCTTCCCTCCTTAAAATCATCAACCCTTCATTTTTGATAACTTATATAGTGGGAGTAATAACACATCCTTTTAACCTTGTTCTCAGGGGCAACATGAAATTTAACTTGAGTCACATTTCTTGGGAGTTTGGCTATTTTAATAACTTCAGAAAAGTTTATCCCAAGTATATCCTAGTATATTCATCAAATGATGATGTCTTTGTTCTGATTTTTTTCAACCCCATTATTTTCCTACTCAAGACAATAATGCAGGTCATCTTTAGATGCTTATAAAATAAAAGTTTCTAAAGAATTTGAAAGCAACCCAATCTCTCTTATTGTAAATACATAATTCAAAAAGGAATAGTCATCACCACTAGAATATAAGATTCACGAGAACAGGGATTTGCTCATCCCTTCCTCCCAAGGGCCTAGAACAGAACTGACCCATAGTGAGCTCTCAGTATATTTGCTATATTAGTGAACAAATTAAGCTTGTGGAGTTAACATGTAGCCTTTTGAAAGTCTTTATACACACCTTTTATTTGGGTTTAAATGGCTATACAATAAATGTCAGCATTGAAGAAGCTATCTCACTGTGTTTCAGTTGTTATTGAATATGCTTTATGTTTTGCTGGGCTTCTGCATATAGTTTATTGCAACCATAGAAGCTGGGGCATTTTTTCCCTGCAAAATACTGCTAGAAAACATGTTCTGAATAAATATAGGGCTTCTGAAAGATATACCTTACTATGTTATGGGATTTCTTACATAAGGAAATACACCATGGCAGAATCATTCTATAAGGATTTTTTTTCTTTTCAATAAGAAAACATATCAAAAGAAAAGAGGAATGTGAATCAGCTGTTGTGTAAACTAAGGTCATTACCCTTTGACCCAGCCACTGGGGCTTCAAACTTTCTGGAGATTTATCTTCTAAGTATATTACTCTTGGAATTTCCAGACCAAATTTTTCTTAAAATATGGATAATCACACTGTCTTTAGAGTGTTAAGCTTAAGATATATGCTCCAAGATTATACTGAATATTTGCACCATACCTTACTTATAAATATTTCCTTTGAAATTTTCTAAAGACTCTAAACAGCTGGATTATAAAATGCCAAAGGTAAAAGCAAAACTAAGAGCCAGAGATTAAGGGAGTATTTTGGTACTTGAAAGATAAGGTTTTGTTGTAAAATGTTACTTGTTTTGCTTTTGATAACTGCATACTTTACAATTCAGTAATGTTAAAATCTGTTATCTGCATTAAGTTAAGAGTAGAGAGACTGTCCAGGTTTTCTTAATATCTAAGATTTACAAAAGCAAATCATAGAACATAAAAAAGACATCATTTTGTTCAAAATTTTATTTTGTAGAAGGAGGGCCATAAAGCTCAGAATGATTTATAAAATTGATGTGTCTAAGATTGCAAATGTTGGAGCCCTGACTGAAAGAAAAGAAAAAGAAAGTGAGCAAGCGAGTGAGCGAGAGAGAGAGAGAGAGAGAGAAAAGAAAGAGAGAGAAAGAGAAAGGAAGAAAGAAGGAAAGAAAGAAAGAAAGAAAGAAAGAAAGAAAGAAAGAAAGAAAGAAAGAAAGCGAGAGAGAGAGAGAGAGAGAGAAAAGAAAGAGAGAGAGAGAGAAAGAAAGAAAGAAAGAAAGAAAGAAAGAAAGAAAGAAAGAGAAAAAGGAAATCTCCTAATTTCAAAGCTACTTCTCTTCTCTACTGTTCTGCTTCCTTTGCTTCTCATTAGGTGGCACTGTCTCTCACATTTGGAATTGCAGAGATTAAAGCTGAAAATGCTAAACTCTCAGAGACACCATTTGCATGAATTAAACAAACAAGGCAGGTGAAGGAAGCCTGCATCCCACTCACCCAAATCAGAACACTGGACGACTCTAAGATGGCATTGGCAGCGGAAGGGACACATCGGTCCCAGGGGATCTAATTCAGGAATTTCAGGAGCGTGCTCATCTGGGCTTATCCCAGAAGCCTCATCTTCTAGCATAAAGTCAAATAAGCCTCTCTGTTGAAACGGTCCGGCCCAGGAAACTTGTGCAAGCAGGAGGAAGATGATAGTGGCCTTCATGATTTATCTCATGTATTTTCACAACCAGAGTACCTGGGAAACAAATGAAAGGTTTAAGAAAAGTAGCATTGCCTAGTCTGTGTGTTATTATTTGTATAATGCCCCACAGTGGGCATTTGGGTGAACACAGAGAAAAGAGCAAGAAATAATATTTAATTTATTATTAAGAAGCAGAGCATTAAAAATGTTTTCGGTAAGTGATAAGGTACATTAAGCAACATTTGCACAACTGTTTACTTACCAAGAGAAATTTGAATAATTATTTAAATCTGCTTAATTGAGTTTTGGGTCTGAATTAAGATGATATACTATATATTCAAATCATTTGCAAAATTGTCATGATAATAAATCACACTTTTCAATGCTCACTTAACACATGCCATACCACGCACGGTCAAATAAAATGTTGACTATACATGAGAGACCTCCAATTTCTGCATCATATCTCTGGAGGATAATCTCATCTCTCCATGCTACTTCATTTATCTTGATCCAGGCCCTTCTCACCACTCCCTGCACTATTGCAAGAGCTTCTAACCCATTTCTGCCTTGAATATTTCCTATACTCCAGGCCATCTTCCACTTTGCTGCCTGAGTCATCTTTTTAAAATTAAATTTCATCTTATTAATTTCTACTGCAAACCACTTGTTGACTTTCTACCGTTTGCCAATGACATCCCATCCTCTGTGCTGTATGGAAGACCACTCTTACTTTAGTGCCAACTGATAGTTCTAGCCACATTTTTCTGCATTTTCCCTCTGCTGCCAGTCCTCACCTCAACACTGACACTCCAAGCTACTTGCCACTTAGATTACCTACCTCGTAAGAGTGTTGTAAAGATGGAACGAGATAATAGGCTTCCCTTCTGTGTTCCCTGGCTCATCCAGGCGGGATGCTGCTTCCTTCCTCCTCTGCTCCCAAACCACGTTGCTCTTACCTCTTTTAAAGAACTTATCACATAATATTGCAATTTGTTTTGCGTGCTTGGTCTGTCCCCCCCACTAGACGATGTGCTCCTTCAGGGCGTGTCTTATTATTCCTTGTTCTGTACCCGGGCCTTGCACAATATTTTGCACACAAATGACTCAATTGACCATCATTTTATTAACAATATAATTTATTCAATTTGTTCCAAGCAACCAATCTGTCTGATTTTTTAAAACTCGAAATTATTCTTTTTTTCAATATCAAAGTTCTGGTATAAGAAAGTTATCAAATTGAAAACCTCAACTTGTATAAATAAGATTCCCTTTTAGAAATAAATCTATTGCCTAGTTTCCCCAACTGATTATTTTTAATAAGCTAATAAACACATATGGAATTCCCTAACTGGTTTTTATTTGATTTATACATTATCTGGTTATACCAAAAGGACATTTTGTAAAACAAACAAACAAACAAAAAGTACAGATTTGACAAATCTATACAATATTTATCCATTCATTCAACAAACACTTATAGATGTATGCATCTATGTTGTTAAATCAACTAAAGTGAACTACATAAATCTGAATAACAAATGCATACATGATTGTAGAGAAAAAAGAGCAACCTATTTTTAAGATGACATATCTTAAAATTCCATTGAAACTATTCTAAGTATTCCCAAAATATATCATAGCTATTAATTTCCTCTACCTTATATTGTACGCTTCTAAGAATCCATATTAAAGCCGTACATTTGTAAACAGCATTAAAGGGTTGTTTTGAGTCATTATCCAATTGTAACATAAGCAAAAAACAAAAACAGAAAACAGAAATAAAAGAAATTTTGTATGCCCTAATATATATTCTGCAAATTTTTGCCTAGATTTACTAGAAAGGAAGCAAATGAATCGCAATGTATTACATTTTTGTTCTTAGTTTATATTTACTACAGAAGCATATCTAAGGTAGCACACATACAATACAGGCTTGTGCCTTTTCACTTTTAAAAAGTACCATAAAGATTATTAGTGACACTGCCACTTTAAGTTCAGTATCAAGTTTTCTCTGGGAGCCCCCTCCCACTCAGTTACTGAGTTTCCCTTTAAGAGGAGACTATTCTTTTGGCAGCACGTTCACTTGGATTGTAGCTAAGGGTGTGGTTTTTCTATCTGTTTCACATTAAAATGCAATGTTTACGGTTTACCACAAGCTTGCTAGCCTTGCATATTTAATGTCTTACAATTTTAGAAGAAAAACAAAGCAAAGTAATTGCAGATTTAATAAATAGCAAGAAGAGTAATGCAGATGTCTCTTTGTAATCTTTTCTCCGGAGGAGAAAATGCCTGGTTGTTTCACTAACAACCCAAAAAAGGAAATGTTAAGCATTAGCTCAGAGGAATAGTATCATCATTTATATTTGTTTACTCTTGTTAAAATGGTGCAAATTCTCCACATGATATTCTTTTCGATTGGAGCTGAATACAAATAGGCAGCTTATAGCTTCAATTACTTATTTTTATTTCACTTTCATTTGCGTGCGTGTTTGTGTGTGCATTTTAACCCTGAATGCCCCAGGAAAGGATATTAGCATGTCCAAAAATTTTATGTAAATGCCTGCATGAAAAAAACTTCTTTTAAATTAGTGTCATGATACTTAAAGACCCAGCACCTTAAAGATCTAGCATCTTAAAGACCCATAATCTTAAAACAATTAATATGAGCTGTTGATACAAATAATTTCCTTAATCATTTCCTTCTTTACTTAATAAATCAGAAATATAAACAGCAAAGAGCAGTTACCCATGTAGAAAACCAAAGAGACTGTTATTGAGATGATATCCTTTTTAAATTTTACTGAAACTGTTTTAAGTATTCTCAAAGTGTATGATATTTTCCAAGACATTAGTTGTTAATATAATGTCTATTTTACTATAGCTAGTTGCCATAGTTTATAAATGTTTTATCAAAAGTAATAATTTCCGACTCCTAAAACTATTTCAACTCATTAAATTAAGTAAGTTATTCAGATCAACATTTGTGTAAAATATCACTTAAGACTTTGGTTTGACTTTCAAAGTCAAAATTTAACCCTCAGGAGATAAGTGAAACTATACATGCAGAGCAAAATTAAAATCCCCTAACACTAGATGAATTAAAAACTTCAACAATAATAGAAATAAAAAAACGAACAATGAAAGTGTCATTTGTCCTTAAACAAGGGCTACTATAGAAGGCATTTGGCTCTTTTTCTGGTAAAAACAGCAAAAGGAAAAAAAAAAAAAAAACCACAGGTATTTATATCACTGGGAGCCCACTTCACCAGTGGTCATCGTGTTATCCTGTTTTAAAATTAGAAAATTAACCCACTCACTCATTTTATAGTGAATGTTATCTAACAATAAAATTTCATATGTGCTGAAAATACTGACAGGGACACTTCTTTACATTTAAGGAATTATACAGTTGTGAAAATATCTTAGGTCTTTAATAGCATAAATATTTTCAATGTTTATTTTTCACCTCTCTGATCATAATTTATATTCATTTCTGAGTTTGCAAAAATATACATTAGCTCTCTACAGCTACTCACCAGAGTTCACTTCTCTGGGGTTTTAAAAGTTCTCAAAGTATATAAGAATTCTGGAGGGAAATAAATCCTTAAATACATAGTCCAACTACAAATAGTATGCTAGTTTAGAATACTTTTCTGTTAACACTTCATAAAGAGCTAAACATTTTCATTAGTAAAAGTACAAAAACATTAACAGATAGTCACAGTTTTAGGTTACAGTTTGTTTTTTTTTTTTTTAATAAGCATCTTTGCAAGAACAGAAGAGAAAGAACTAAAACAATGCATTCAATCATTTTACCAAATATTTAACTTCTGTTTTCAAAGCAATACTTGTTTAAAATGTTGCATAAAGGTTACTAAAAGTTTAGTACGATTTTTTTTCTTTTCTTTTTCTCAACAAATAATTCCTTTTGCTTTCAATTTGACCAAAGTTTTATTAGTCTGTAGCAGAGTTCAGGACAATTATTGAAAACCATACCTTTTAATCCGGGGATTTGCCACAGGAGCCCTCAAAGCTGAGATGTAATTACACTAAATATTCAGCCCAAGCAACAGAGTTTGCAGGTGTGGAAAGGAGGAGGGGGTAGGTGCTGCTCTGTGACTGTCACTAGGTTGAAAACCTCCTGCTTCTACTCCATAGCACAGTTAAAAAATAAGGTTTCCCTCAATGAACACAATCCGGCTGACACCCACATTAGATCATATGGTAATGATATGTCTCTTGTATTGAAGCCAGAAACTTTATCGGCCTTTTTTTCTCCACATTTGCTTTATTCCTTTTGCATCTGCTTAAGATTCTAAACTGCTTATGTAGTACAGTGGAGCAACTTGACTTGAAATTTGTCTTATCGCCGATTCAATTCCCTAAAATATTGTAACTAAAGGGTTTCTCTCCCCACCCCCAACACCATTCCAATATTCACCCTTTCTAGCCTTGTTTATAAGTAACATTTATTACACTTCTGAAATGACAATTTTTCTTGCTTTCTGGGTGTGTATTTCCAGAAAAAAAATGAAATTAATTTTGTAGTTGTTTTATGTATGGTCTACAAAAATAAATGAGTAGCCTCACGTTTAAATACTCATTCAGATTCTTACTTGCCTTGGAATGTTTGTACAAAATCAAGTATGATGCTGTGGAGTTTTTCTATAGAGTCCTGGAAGAAAGCCATGCTTTTATATGAAAAGTATGTCATTTATTACTTTTATTACTTATAGTTTAAAATATTTCTTGTTGTCCGCCAGTTTTTTAATAAAACACATAGACACTAGAAGTGGGTCACAATGTAGTTTAGTCTCTATATGAACAATTTGATTTTCATAGCCTATAATTTTATAGAATCCAGAAGTTTGAAAAGGTAATAGATTCTATGGCTCTTTCCAAATTTTATTAAATGGAAAAAAGAAAGTGCAAATACAAGGAAAGATGTTTGTTTAGCCACTGGAAAGGGTTTTGCATTTTTATAATTCCCTTGCTGGATGCTGTTAGTTGTCTCTGTCTAAGTCTCTATGTTTTGACTTGTATCTTTATGCTCTGGCCCCTAGGCTGTTACCAGGTGGAAACTTGAAATCAACATCTGTGAAACATGAGAGGATCCCCTTCCCATCCTCCTCCTTCCTTCCTTCCCTCCTCTGAACATTTGAGTGGGTATCTTGGGTGGTGTTCTTGAGGGGGAGGGGTGTAGCCACATTACAGTTTGCTTTATTTCCCAAGTTCAGCCTCCCAAGTTAACACTGTACCCCACTTATCCTCTCCTTGACATTTAATGACCACATACCTAGTTATTCCGATGGTTTAGAAAAAGGCAAGTGCAATGTTCCCTTGATATTGGTACAAAGTCCAGGATTCCTTTATCTGGAATTAATCAATTTTCTCCTCTTAACACTCCTTGAAAGACATTTATCTCTTTTTGATGATACATAGTAACTTCTTCCTTATATTATAATTATTATGAACATGCTGTGTTCATATCTGTTGAGTCCCTGCACCCAGAATAGATTATGATATATAGTAAATTCTCAGGAAACACTTGATAAATTACTAAAGACATTAAAATCATTGGCTATGGACCATTGCATGATTAATGTTTTGCTCATCCCTGACTTACTGTTTATCAAAACCCAACCCTACTAAAGTGTATATGACAATTAATGGCAATACTTTTTCAGAGAGGGAGAGAGAGAGGAAGAAGACACGTAGAGGATATTAAAGAAAAAGTAAAAAACGGAGGAGAAGAAAAGGCATATTACCCTGGTATGTAGATCATTTTATTTTTATAAAAGTGGACCATTTTAGGTTCATATTTTGGGGTCTTCCCTCTGAGAGAAAGCTGTGTGAATTTAGGCAACCTGCTTAACCTCTCTGAGTCTCACTTTCTCAGTTTCTGGGTTTTATAAAAAAAAGTTCCCTATAAGTATTAGCTTTTATTATTTTCTGATGTATTTTGCAAAAATCAAAACCCAATGACCTTCCCAAGTTCACAGAGCTGGTAAGAAACAGAGCAGAAATTAATACCTAGTTCTTCTCATATCTAATCGAGTTTTCATAGCTATACTACATCTTAAGAAAAAGAAAACTCTTAATAAATAGAAAATTAATTATGAAAATTTGGGGATAACATGTCTTTGCAGACTACTATAAATACTTGACCAAGTTACAATTCCTTTTAAATTTATATTTATACAGGGACAAATACACATTTTTTAAAAATTTTAATAAGAACCTCATCTCCCAAATCCCAAGCACTTAACCAAACATTGTGTTATATAAAATCTGGATCTTTAATCACACATTAAATTATATATATTGTTACACCTATTTTTAGATAGAAGAAACTAAGTTGCAACAAAGTCATATGCAGTTAAGTCACAAAGAGGTCATGGCGCTATCAGCATAATCCAGGTCTCCTGCAATCTGACATAAAGTGGAACAATTTATGGCTAGAAACAGCACTTGCACAGAGATTGCTTAAACTCATCCTGGCTTAGAATGTTTGGGGGTAGGATTCCCTGAAACTCTGGCTGTCATATAGATATTTGAAATATTCCAATTCACAGCACATACCACATCTGCTGTTAAAACCACTTAAACTGTGATTTCTACTGACAACCCCCTAGCTAACAGGGTAACTGTGTTCTGAATGTTGACAAAGTTCATTTCAGGGCCAGTCACTCTTTCTAATCAACATCACATACAAAAGATTTAAATTGTACCTGCACATTAAGGATGTGAAGAATGCCAGAGCTTAGAAAGGTCTCCTTCTGACACCCTTTTATTTTCTAAGAGGCCTGGAAGCAAATGATTATCTTCACTAACCCAGTGTGACTGGTTTATTCATAGACTGACTCTTCAAAGTCAAATCAGGAGCTGACACGAACTGTCTGGCTCCATACTTTGCCACTCTAGACAGAGTTCTTCCTCAGCCAAGAAATAAGGCTAGGGTGGAATTGAGGACAGCCTTGAATATAGGATAGCTTGATACAAAATTTGGTGTAGAAAACGTTTACTTTGGCTGTCTTCCATGCCTCTACTCCTCTGACTCTCACCACTGCATTGCATGACCTTGTACTTTGCACAATTTAACCTCTCTGTTCTTCAAATTTTTAACCTATACATGTAGTTAACCATTGTACTATCTCCTTCATGGGTTTGTGATGAGATTTAAAGAAGATTAATACATAAAGCATTTAGAACTGCGCCTGACACATATCAAACACCTCATAAGCGTCTGTTATTGCTTCTGCTGCTGCTTCTCTTGTGTTTTTGGCTGTTAAAAACTTTACCTTGGATATGTCAGTACAATAACCAAACTACTTCCCTTTTACAACTCAACAGGTTTTCTGCCTAACAATCCAAGAAATCACCTAAACCATGAAATAGTTGCAAGAAAAGACTTTGGAGTTAGATAAGCTTGAGTTTAAGTCTCCATTTTGTATTGTTAAATAACTGCCTTGCTTTCTTTATGCATAATATTTTACTGGATTCCAAGTCCTGCTGAAATCCATTCATGGGATTTATAAAAAAATAGAGACTTGTGGTTAAGAAGCGCTACTCTGAGCAATAAACTAGAAGTGTGAATAGAGACAGAGAAAGGATAAGTAATGAATTCAGGAAGGGAAAACGTATAGAGGTAAGCACCTATCTTTCACTGCAAGGTATTTAATTCCTTAATTCCCTGACTCTTTCTCTTGAATGCTCTGGAACATGTCTTTCCATAATACTAATCAATCAGTTTGTATTTGGACAATAAACCAACCTCTATTGCCTATCTTTAGCCTGTGCAAGGCACACACCTCTCTGTTAAATACAAGGAAATTTCCAGTATCCTATTAGTCAATGAATCAGCACATATTGGCTAAAGAACCCACTATGGGAAAAAGTGTTAATACCAGGCCCTATGGAAGATATCAAGAAACACAAAGTACAATGTGAAGGGCATTACTTCAAGGGATATGTAATACATTCATAAACTAATGTGTTAGTGTTAGCAGACCAGAAAACTTATAATGCATAATTCCTAGCCAGAGTAAAGTATGATGCAATTAAAAATATTAAATAATTGTCTTAGCAAGTCAGAGGAGGGATGAGGAGAGATCACTTTACACTTGCAAGGTTAGGTAAGGGTTTATGGAGAATGAGGTACGATTTAAGCTGAATCCTGAGGGATAAAAAGAATGTACATGGAGTGAAAGGAGAGAAATAGCATTATAGGCTGGCAAGATGGCATTAAAAAAACTTTCTCAATGGGAAAGCAGGAGAAAATAAATACATCAATGTAGCTTAAGTGGATGCTTTTGCTTTTTCTCAAAGAACTTGTGTGCTCCTTTATCATCCTTGAATATTCAACAGCTGCCATGGTGCTTGATATGTCAAAACCACACAATAAATGAACATTCCATGTTTATGCAAATAACTAAAGAGAGATAAAAGAAATAAATGAAGGTAGAGTTTAACTGTGGAAGGACTTGAAGGTCTCCCACAGGGCACTTACCCATTTATTCATTCATTTTTTTCAGCATATATTCTTTTGGTGATTAATATGTGCCAATTACTGTGCTTGAAGCTGGATGTTATCTACGGTAATTGAATGAGGTAATAACATGATAAAAAATTTATTTTAGCAAATAAAACCTAGCAAATATATGGAAGGTGGTAAGACTACAGTCAAGGAAATTAGTTAGAAGTTTCTTCATTTACTCTCAGTGTATTAACACCTTAGAAAGGAGGTGATGAGCATGGTGGACGTAGAGCCACTTCTTAGAAAGCTGTGATAAATTAAATATTTGGAGCCCACATTCTGTACCAGGCATTATGGTATTGTCTTTAAAAGTATCATCTTGGCCAGGCACAGTGGCTCAGACCTCTAATCCTAGCACTCTGTGAGGCAGGCAGATCGTTTGAGCTCAGGAGTTCAAGACCAGCCTGAGTAAGAGCAAGACCCCATCTCTATCACAAATAGAAAAAATCAGCCGGGCATGGTGGTGCATGCCTATAGTCCCAGCTACTCAGGAGGCTGAGGCAGAATGGTCACTTGAGTGTTGAGGAAAGATGATTGAGGAATTAATGAGATGTGGCTCACAAGATTATTATTTTATCATCCAATATTGCTATATTAAAGACAGAATTGATTTCAGGAGTTTTTTGCAGGGTTTTGCCCTACGGGAATATGTGAACACATTAGTTTGAATATCAAGGGCTGCCTCACCCTGGGAGGGCTGTCAAAGCTCCAGGAGATGCATTCCATGAGGCTTCTCATTATCTCTGATCTGTGATGCCACCTTGATCTTGAAAGACAAGACAGGTAAATCCTTGGTGTCATAGAATGGGTGTCGGAACAATAAGCACCCTAGCCCAGAGATTCATCCCCTGTGGTTATGAGCAATTTGGAATGAAGAGCCCAGTTCCTGCTTTCTCCTGACTGTCTGTCTCAAATCCACAATAACTAGATAAAAG